GTCTACAACTCCCCGTGTGTCACCCCATGACCACATTTTTTTTTCTTCTTTCTTTCTGTTTGTTTTTTTTTCTTGTTCTTAAATTTAAACATTTATGGGACGTCAATAATCCTCTGATTGTTTTTTTCTCGAGTGAATCGTAATAGTGAAGATCTGCATCATACTGACAGCAACTTATTACAGTATGGTATAATACGAGTGGACAATCCTGTACAGTTATCATTACTATGCAGGCAGTGAATAGTTATGATTCATTTTTTTCATAGTAGAATTTTGTCCATCATGTATGAATAGGGTGTAACATATCAGAATATTTATATTCTGAATTAGTTAGGTTTCTGTCATGTTGTATTTCATATTGATATATTTCTTCTGAGCTGTGTGCTAGTATTCATTCGAGCGATAGAAGGGTGTGGGTGTCTATTGATTATATCTATACTGACATCTAAATCTCCATCTCCATGCTGAAATTCACCCGAGTTGTCATAATTGTGAGAGCTATCTTCTGAATTTGACAAGTAATTATCTCTTACTTGCTGTGTAATTATTCTCTGTGTTCGATGCTATTTTTTCTCTTTCTCTTCCATGATTATCTAATGTACTTTTGTGTAATTGTACTGACACTCTGACCTGTTGTATTCTTTTCTAATGTGCATAGCGGTGTACTTTTTTTTGAGAGTCCAAAAAGAGCAAACGTCGATACCGAGCACGACGCAATAATCATCATTTACTCATTGTTGTTTTTTTCTGCGGAAATGATAACAGTTATATTCAAGTGAACCCTGTGCAAACACATCAACTTCTCGCTGAAAACGAAATAGAAACTATATGCATCAATAAAGCTTTCCTAGCTAGTCATGAATAATTCATACGATCCAAATAATTTGTTGTTGTCTTTATCTAGATATGAAAACAGTACCCATAACAGTCATTTCAACTTGTATAAATGAAGAAAAGACAATAAAAGTTTAAATTAGGAACACTTCTAGTGTATGCCATTATTAAAAGACTTGAAAAGATTCTAACTGTTAATGAGTATTCTTATTTTATTAAAACTTAGAGAAAATGTAAGTTGATGATCAATCTGATCTGTTTATTCATTACTCAAAAGATCGAAAAATGTCAATGGAAAATGTTACAATGTTCGAAAAATTAGATCAAAGTGTACATCCACTAAAAATGTGATTATGTTATTTCATTTATTCATAATTCATGCTTTTTCGAGATGTCTATATGTCAGAACAGTCGTCTTATCAGTTCAGTCTTTTATTGTTCTCTTTGTAATGTATTTTGATCTTTCATACTAACTAAAGTTGGAGAAAAGAGGTTTTTTTAGGAAAAAAAAACTCAGTTCATTATTGGGTTTTTTCTTCACAATGATATTTAGATAAAGGATTTTTGTTAAAACACAATTAAGTTTCAAAGTGTTATTTTATTGCATAAGAAATAAGTACACTAATATGAATTCAATTTTGTTATAATTATTTTCTTGTATGTTACGTTTTTATATATAGTAAAACAAGATACAATGCATGCAAAAAATGGTAGTACAACAAATATTTTGCATATGTTTCCTGATTTGAAAATTTTATTACTATTAGCAGTTTCTTTTTGACAAGTCATCGTTCAAAAAATTAAATATTTCAAACGCTACTAAATCATGAGAAGATTTTCGTAAAATTAAAAATAAGTGCAAACAATCTTTCGATTAAGTATAATATTTTAAATGTTTTGTGACAATCATTGCGTGCTTGGAAATTAGTGTACGAGTTTATCTTAGATAAATTGCGGAAGTTTTGAATTGCATGATTGCAGTTTCAAATTTAAATAATATACAAAAAGAAGAATTGAAAAATGTTCAAAGTTGATAATTGATGCCAAGAATGTTTTAAAAACAATTAAATTAGATTTTTCCTGAAGCAAAACAACATAGATCGAAGAATGTTTTTTTCAACTATGGTTAATAGAGTTTCAACAGTAGTTCATTTATTTATGTTTCGTTCAATGGCTACTAAAATTAGCTGAAACTATTTCAACTAGTTTATCAACAAGCTATTCATATCGGATGCACAATTGGTAATCTAATTGCAACTGGTAAGGTTGATCAATTAGTAGATAAGTTAGGAACATAATAAAGCACTTCAAAGTATGCGTGAAGTAGCTTAAATTAGCCTAAAGTATTTTTTAAAGTAGCGCAAAATACGTTCAACTAGAAAATGATGATGTTTTCCCTAAAATTGAATACTTGAACTAATCTCCGATGTACAATTAATTGCTGAAATTTCAATCCATGGTTTTTTTTACTTAGATACATTATCGAGAGTTCACTTTTTTAGTCATATTGAAAGAATAAAATCTGCACTTTAGAAAACATAAGAAAAAAAATTATTTGAGATTAACTTTGAATAACAAAAAAAAAGGTTCTTGCACTTTCTTCCTTTTTCAAACATATCTTTCTTGCATCAAATCTATTTGTTTCCTTGTAACAGATTACATTTGAAATTATATAATTATCAAGAGTAGTAGTACTTTTATCAATCCTTCAGATTTGAGAGATAAATATGAAGGAACCAGTATGTTACTAGAGCTCTTTTGAGCATGTCTGATTCAAACTAATTGCTTCTGACTCTAACCAATTTCTAAAATATGAGCGAATATTTTGTTCCAAAACTTTTACACATCATAGGTTACGTATAACTTCATCTTCTTAGACCAATTATTATACCCGTATTGATAAAAATCATTTTTCGAATTCTTTTATTTTTATAAGAATAAAATCATGACAATAGTATTTCATATATATTCTATTTATGACTATCATTATATAAAATCATATGTTTTCTATTTGTTTGTTAATGATGTTGAATTGTATTATATATTCGTGAATTTTTCTTTTCCGATGAAATAGTTGTTCGTTGTTTTTTATATTTAACACGACGATTTTGAAACCAAATCTAATATATATATATTTTTTTTTAAGAAAAATACAAAAACAAAAAAAAAAACTGTAATTACTTTTACTTGTTTTTCTGTTAAACTAAGACATGTTGCTATTTCAATTCGACGTAATCTTGATAAATACATATTTGATGAAAATTCTCGTTCTAATTCAAGTAATTGTAGACTTGTAAATGCTGTACGCATACGTTTTAAATTTAATGATGATGATGATGATGAACTAATTGTTGTTGTTTGAGATTTTTGTTCATTATTTGTATGAAATAAAACAAATTGTGTTGATGATGATGATTGTGATGTTTTTCCTATTAAATATTCAATTGAAAATGACTTATTATCATTTAACATATTGAATCAATGAGATCAATAACATCAACAACAACTATATATATATGAAAAATTAATTCAATGATCAATAAATTGACATAAAATATAATTGACTCATGAAATTGTTGATGAATGTGAAATAGATAGCAACAAAATATACCTTGATTTTATCTCATGAGAATATCTAATGTCGTTAATATTATCATTTCTACTAATATGAAAAATGAGTAGAAAAAGGAAATGAAATGAAAATAAAAGTCATTTTTTGTTGTCGTCGATCTTACACCGACAATAAATTAGAATCATACACGCTTTTAATATGATGTTAAATGTGATTTTTATTGCTTTTTTTTTTTTTTTTTTTTGTTGTAGAAAATAATAAAACAAGAAGAAAAGATTTCATTTTCAACTAATTTATTTCCATCAGAAAATCATATAACACAGACGAGGTACTTGTCATGTTTCATGTATTTGGTTTTGATAAATGATTCTTTTTTTTTTCTCTCTCTCACACACACTTATTAAATGATAAAAACTTTATATGCAAACAGATGTTCGAATTATTATCAATAATTTATAGGTTTTAATTTAAAAGAAAGAAAAAAAGCTTAAAATTCAGATATTTTTATTAAGATTGGTTGTCTTTTTGTGTATAATTTTATGTTGTTACCAAAAGAAAACTATCATATAGTTTCGTGTAGTTCAAACATAATGCAATCATTATATTGAGTTGCCTTCTCTAGTATTAAATAATACAATATAAAAGTAACCAGAGGTTACAAAATTTGGGTAGCGTATACCTCTTCAATAATTAAAAACTATGCATTATATCAGCGACTTTTAATGTTGACGAATGAGGAAAGTTTCAAAGGCATGACTCGTCAATTGAACTGATGTTTTCTTCGTAATTAAGACCCTAGAGGAGTAGTAGAAGTTTATGAGAGTTTGTTCTTATACATTATCCTTCATAAATTATTACAATTTCACTAAAGTTTTTATTGATGGCAATATGTCAGTGAAAAACTTAAATTTGTAAAATTTCAATCAGAAATTTCGTCCATAAATAAATCTCGTGAATATTCGAATGCTATGGAAATTTCCGTTTAAAAGATTGTATTCTTCTTAAGATATCAAATGTTGAAAACATGAAATTTTCTTTCTTTTCCTTGTGATACATGATTGTTTTCGATTAATTAATATCTCAAAAAGGAGATATTCTTTTAATTTTTTTCACAAATATTTCACTAGAAGAATCTGTTTGGTTAGTTTTGAACTTGAACCTAAGTTTGGATACGAAAATTTTGTATTACTCTTATATGATTTTACTCGTCTCGTAAGAATCTAAAAAGTAACGTATTTTTGTTCATCATTTCACATATGGTGAACAAACACGCTATTACCCAGGTCGAAGATTCCGGTCACCGGATCCTGCAGGAAAACACCGGAAGTCGCCGGAACAGGGTAGCAGTATTCCGGCTGGAAGATTTTCGGATTTTTTCCGGTGACTTTCGGAAAAATTCCTGCAGGAAACGGGAGACATTTGATCGGAAGTCACTGGAGAAAATCCGAAAATTTTCCTGCCGAAATACTGCTACCATTTTTTGGTGTTTCTCTGGCGGAACGCGCTCGTACTTCTCGATCTGAGTATGCAAGAATAAAAATATTTAATTGTTTTACTAATAGAATTAAGATACTGACTCCGAAAAAAAAAATGCTTCACGATTATTTTGACTTTGACAGAGTCAAGTTTCGAATTCGAATGCTGGGTACTATGATTCATCATTTTTTTTCTCTTGAATTTTTCGCTTCATCATTAATCACAATAGGTTTGTAAAACATTTTTTCAAAAAATCTTCATTGACAGTTACTTGCATAACTATCATATTAGAATCTTAAATAAACATAGCGAGGTCGCTAGTCAATGATGTTTTCAACAGTTTTAAATATAATTGGTTTAAAAAGAATAAATTCTGATATATATTGGATTCAATAGAAATATAAATTCAACTAGTTTTCATTTCATAAGATTTTTTTTTTTTTATTTTGAAATAATGTCTATTGTACTTAAACGTCATCCATCAACTTCATCAAGTGAAGATGATAATAATGATGAAGTTGATTGTCCATTAAGTAGTGCAGAAGCATTAGCAGCATGTAAACAATTTGCTACAGTAACAAATACAGATACAGGTTTAGCTATGATGATGTTACAAAATAATGGATGGAATTTAGAATGTGCTATAAATGCTTATCAAGATTTAACAAATGATAAATCAAAATCTAAAAATCAAAATCAAACATCGTTAGTTAAATATTATTGTTTACATAAAAAAATTTTATTTATTATATATTTCTATAGTGAATCAAATTTAAAACGAATGAAATCTAAAGAATTTACAACTATAACAGAATCGAAAGATGATCAAACAAAAGTTAAAACACGTTTTAAAATACTTTCATGGAATATTGATGGACTTGATGAACAAGAAAATACAATTGAAATACGAACACGAGGAGTTATTGATGTTATTAAACGGTAATAAATTTCAACAATTTCTTTTTTTTTTTTAAATGGATTTTTATTTTCTAGAGAAGAACCAGATGTTATATTTCTTCAAGAAGTTATTCCAATAGCATTTGATTTAATTCGTAATCTTTTATCTGAATATGATTCATATGCTGGTTAGTTCATAGTCTTTGTTTTTTTTCTTCTTTTTAACGTAATCTTTGATAAATTTTATTCTTTTTCTTTTTGTAGGAAATACTCAAGGTTATTTTGTAGTTATTTTAACTCGTCGTGAATTATTTAAAGTACAAAATATCGAAATTATAAAATATCCAGGAACAAATATGGAAAGAAATTTACTTATAGCTCATGTATATCTATATATAATTCTTTGTAATTTATTTTTATATATTTGTTTTTTTTTGAATAGACAATCTATAAAAATTCAATTGAAATTGATTTAATGACATCTCATCATGAAAGTGGTACAGAAGAAATAGCAAGTAACGAACGTATTGAACAGTTAAAATTATGTTTTAAATATATGCTTAATTCTCCATCACATCGTATTGTTTTATTTGGTGGTGATTTGAATATACGTGAGAAAGAGGTAAAAATGTTTGCAGTTATAATTCTTCAAAAGAGTGATTCAATTTTTTTTGCTACAAATGGATTAACTTTTCTATCGAAATTGATCTAGTTAAGTTTTCTTATAAGCGTAACAAAATTCGATAGCTTAGTCAAACTCAGATCCTTTTACTTGTAAGTTCAAGCAAAACGGAATATGCATCAATTTAAATCGTATTTTTTGGATTCCAAAGTATTTTTCTTGAAAACATATCCTCGATTTCGAATGTATTCATGAGATTACATCGAATTGTATAGGACGAAAGACATTTTCTAATCAGAAAGTTTGTTTTTGTGTACTCAAAAAGTGAGTACACTCTAGAATCGGTCAGTGTGTCCGGCCGGCCGACCGTCCGTCCGTCCGTGTGCACGATAACTCTTCACAATTATATCCGATTGAGCTGAAATTTTGTGCACAGAATTGTCTCATCAATATCTCGATCGAGTTGGAAGATGAGAAGGATCCGTCAAGAAATGGCTGAGTTATCGAAAAAATTGTCATTTTTGACCGGACCATCCCTGAGGGGGATACAGGGATTTTTTCAAAAAAAAAAATTTTTTCTCAGAATTATCCACAACATATATAAATCGACTCAGTTTTTAACGCTGATTCCGAATCTGATTTTAGTTTTGAACCAAATCGTAGTTTTCTAACGAAACATTGCCTGAAAAAGGTCTCAAAATGTACAAAAACTGCATCCAGAAACCAAATTGCCTAGATATGTCTCAGATGACCAGTAGTTTTGGGGTTTCCCAAATGCCTGATTTTATAGCTAGTCAAAAGGACTATCGAAAGGCAAAAAACCGAACTCGATAGCTATTAATATTGGTGATTTATTATGAAAATACTGATGTCTGTATCTATCATATATCTCTTATAGATTCGTGATGTTGCTTACGATCGTAATCCCGCTAAATATAGACACGAATCCATTCAAAAATAACTCTTCTTACCCAGTTTTCCAAGCTGAACACGAATCTGAACTCAATTTCTGTGATTTCTAAAGATATTATATCACTCTGAGAGTAGTCAGTGGTCACCGGATAGGATCGCATACAGTGTGGTCCATGCTAACTTATCACGCCTGTGTTTTTCTCCTTGTAATTTAGTAACAAGAGATGTATCTTGACGAGCTCTGTCTTGCAGAAAAAAATAAATACAGAGCCTACTGCACCAAGTGAGAAAAGTCCAAAATACCGCCCCTCGGAGTATGTGATTTCATTGAATTTACGCAGTTTTTGGCTTATATCACTTTTTTATCTCATAACTTGCTCACTTGGGTCTAGTGAATTTATAGATTAAACTGTTTTCTGTCCAACTGAGACCTTCTTTAGCTCAAAGGGCCAAACCGTTCACGAGATAAAAACAAAGTGAATATACCTTTTCACTTTTGGAAGTACACATAACACTCGGATTTAAATTCGAGGTTTTCGCATTTATTTTTGTTTATTCTTAAAAGTGATTTAATTGATGAAAAAATGAAAGGATATCAGAGGAGAAAGTTTTATAAACTCTTTTGTATATTAAAAACTCATAAAAATAAAAAATATTTCGTATATTTTAGCTTCAAAAAGCAGGTGATATACCATCAGGTATTGTTGATCTTTGGATTGAAACAGGCAAACGTAAAGAATGTGCATATACATGGGATATGAATCGAAATACAAATATTTATTATCCATCTAATAATTATCGACCACGAGCACGTTTCGATCGTCTTTATTATCGTTCATCAAAACAAAATATAATGCAATTTAAACCAGTCTATTTTGAACTTGAAGGTCTTGAAAAATTACCATCAATAAAACGCTTTTGTTCGGATCATTGGGCTATTCAAGCATATTTTGATATATAGTCATTATTTTATCAGATATTTTCTATAAATAA